GGGCCAGAGGGAGGTGCCCAGATCTCCGAACTCCAGAAGAAGCACGCACTCTAAGAATGCACCTAGGAAGAGCCACAGGCAGACAAAGCTGGCTGTGCCTCCCCTCAGCACGCGGCCACCCCCATGCAGGGGACCCCCGTTAAGACGTTGGAGAATCAGGAGAGACGAGCCCAGATGTGCTTGCTGGAAAACTTCCTGTTCCTGTTCTGCTTGGCAGGAGAAATGAGTAAGAGGAAGTGAAGACCTGAGGCTCAGCACAGAGGCTGCTCAGCAGGGGGAGGCCGGAGGCTCAGCTCCTAGGAGACAGGAAGTAGGGCTGCTGGGAGGGAGGAAGGCACGGAGGAGGAGCTCTCGGGATGCAGGTGAGCTGGTGAGAGGGAAGCACGCCCAGCGGGACCACTGCCCATCTGCAGGAAGAGTGACAGGGAGGGGACAGGGAGGGGCCTCTGCATCCAGCCCCAGCTCTGGAGGGGACAGAAAGTTCTCCAGACTCCCTGGGCTACAGGACAGAAGCAATGGGACATGGAGCAAGCCATGTGGGCTGCAGGCTCCGTGCTTGCCTTCCCCACAGCGAGTGTCAGTCGCCAGGCCAGTACATCCCCAGGTCGGTTTAGCTGATGGGACCAGCGCTTGCACCCTGATTCTACAAAGGCTTGAGCATAGCCTCCTCACGCAGAGAGCTGCTCTGAGCTCAGGGCTGTGCTGTACGTGACAGTCAAGTTCCCTGTCCTGGGGGCTCCTGGCCTAGAGGAACAGGTCAGTAGAGGATAAAACTCAAGGATCTCAGAGGATAAGGGGTGCCAGGAGCAAATCAAAGAGCAAGGGTGGGATTAGGGCTGACAGAGGAAGGGTACAGCAGCCCTAGAGCAGGGAAGCTAACCCAAGGGACTTACATGTCACATATAGAAGTCGTCAGCAAAGAGAACCGAGACCATGGCCAAAGTCCAGACTCTGTTTGTCCAGGGCTGCTCAGCTGTCCAGCAGCAGCATTCTGGGGAACCTTCTAGAAATGCAGCTCTGAAACTATTACAGCTCTGCTGAGTCCAGAAGCTCTGGGATGGGGCCTGCTGTGTGTGCATGTCTCTGTGTGCATGTCTGTGTGTGTGTGTGTGTGCGCGCGCGCGCGCGCATGCGCACGCATGTGAAACCTTCCAAGGATTCTGGGGCACACTCATGTTTCCCAGTGGATGCCCTGCCTCAGGGTTCCAGGGGGCTGTGCCCTAAAGACGCCTGGTCATGTGTAAAGATACTTCCAGCTGTCCCAGGGAGCGAGTAGGTGCTACTGTCCTCTGGTGAGTCCAGGCTGGGGTGCTGCCCACCATTCTAAGGCACACCTGGCAGCCCAGGACAAAGTATGGCCCAGCCACACGTGGCAATGGTACCGAGGCTGAGAAGCCTGAATGGGATGTTAGGTTTCCAAGCAGCATCGGGACTGAAGTCCAGACCAGGCCCCCTGCAAAGATGGCGAACGTTGTCTCAAGTGACTCCCAAGACAGACTATGGTCCTATCATCTGGGAACCAAGGAGATAGATGCACAGGAGGAAGCTCAGGGTGCAGGAAGACAGTAAAGATGGGCACTGTGTTTCTGACTGGGAGATAGGAGGTCTGGAGACCCAGGAGCCAGGAGCCAGCAGTGTGGGCTGGAAGGGCAGGAAGGCCCAGCGGTGACCTGGGGCCTGACAGTCGCCATGGCTTTCCCAGGCTAGGGCTGACGCCAGGGCGGGCCAGCCCTGTGCAGGGAGGGGACAGAGCCCCATTTCCCTGCCGGACGGCTCAGGTGCATACGGCAGGATTAGGAACACCTAGAAGGAACACTCGTGGGAACTTCCCTGACCTGCTCTATCTTCAGGAAAGCAACCTGAAGACAGAGAGGGATCTACCAAGAGGTGCAGCTGCAGACAGGACACTGCTGGAGGAGCGACAGCGGAGGGGCAGCCCTCAGGGCAGCGTTACAGTTCCGTCACACGGTCCTCAGCCCGGACGTGGCCACCAACACCTCCAATGCACGACAGAGGCACAAAGTGATGCTAAAGAGTTACCAAGGAGCCACAGCCTAACACTAGGTACCAAGGGTCTGTCACAGATCCGGGAGGAAATGTGACCCTGCATTTTCGAGGACGGCGCAATAGCATGAAGATGCCAACATGAGTCCCTTGTGGCCCAGACCTCCCACACGCTGGCACACACCTGCAGGAAAGCACGGGTAAGCACAAGGCCACCGCTGCGGGAAAGCCATGTGTCGTTGCCAATAATGGTTATGAGCCGGCCGCCACAAATACCTAATGGCTAACCTGGGAAAAGCAGACACCTTAGAATGCTGTGACCACTCAAGAAAGAGAAGGAGAGAGATGGGACAGCGCAGTGTGGCAAGCTGCTCAGGGCAGGTGCCCAGCAGAGCCGGCCTCACTTTGAGGGACTTCGCACACCACACCTTTCCGTTTGCCACCTTCCCTGTACTTGCACAAACACAGAGCAAGCGGGAGGTTCACCATGAGTGTAACCACGAAGCAGGAGAGAAAGAGGGGCCATGACATAGTTTACCTTTCAAGCGTGCTTTGAGTTTGGACAAAGAGAATACTGATGGATACTCTAAAAAAAGCCTTGAGCAGGAGGGTGAGTGAATCTTTCTGCTGCTTCATAAAAACAGAAGCCAGCGGAGAATGGTGGTACATGCCTGAAATGCCAGCACCACGGGAGGCCAAGGCAAGAGTATCACAAATCCAAGCCCAGGCTTGGCAACTCAGTGACTTAACCCTGTCTCAAAACATAAAAAAAATACAAAGGGCAGGAGTATAGCCCAGCACCAAGGACCTGGGTTCAGTCCCTCGTACCCAAAACACAAAAACAGAAACCAGATGAAGGCGTGAGTCTCCGGCATACCTTCCATCGGGTTACTGTGCGGCTGAGCACTAGATTCAGCATGCAGGAGTCTTGAATTAGCTCAACAGGTAAGCAGATGGTGGTGGCCCTAAAGGGAGGGCCAGGCCAAGGGCCAAGACCTTCAGGTCGGTGAGCAGAGGAGGGGGTCCTGGGGTAGCCCACCAGGATGTCCATCTGTTTAAAGCTCTAGGTCCCACAGAGCGAGAGACAGCTGAGCGGCACTGACAGGCAGCAGAGCTGCGCAGGATGAACATGGGTCCCTACGCCACCCTTCCTATTCCAAGCTCCCAGATCTCTTCCAACTTCAAGATGCTGGGTTCTTCCACCACAGAGGAACTCCTCTGCTGAGTCCAGCCTTCCGTCAGTACCTCACTGCCTGGTGGCTGTTATTAAGGTTCTGCCACTCAGATCCAAACCTCACAGACTCTTCGACTGTGACATCTGTGCGCAGGTCCTTTTTTTTTTTTTTTTTTGCCATTCAAACCAGAGAAGAGCCGCAGGTAGCCCCTCCCCTGGTATAACTTAATTACCAGCGACCAAGAACCTCCTCCTCTCTCTCAGGGGCTGGCAGCAGCCACCTGCCAACACCCTTGCTCCCACCCACGGAGGCACGGAGGCACAGACAGCCAAAAAGCTAAGCCCTCCATAATTTCCGTTTCAAGTTCGCTTCCTTTTACTGCCAGGGAGACAAAGGAGAAGGGAAGGATTCTCTCAGGAGGAGCCATTCAACTCCCATAATTGCAACAATCATGGACTTGCAGCTCCAGCACAGGGAAAACCAATCCATCACAGAATGCTGAAGGCCTAATCTCTGATTACTAATAAAAGGATTAATTAAAGCCTTAAGGGTCTGCTCATGGCAGCCTCTCTTGGAAACTCCGAGGAAACTAACGTGCCCTCCCACGTATAGAAAAGCCAGGGATTTCCTTGGCCGGCACCTCAGCGTGACCTAATGACATAGTGTCAATACTCCTCACAAAGAAATCTCACAATACTTGCATAGGTTTATTGTTTAACATTTCAAATAAGGCTCCGGCGCCCACAAGGCCACCGCGAATGGGTCTTGCTGGCACTTCCCGGCTCGGATGTGTGCCAGGGAACTGATGGAATCCCCCCCCAGGAGCCGGCCACCCGCAGCCAGGTGAATTACTTTTCCCTTCGGGCCCATCATTTAACAACATCAGGACATCAAGTCCCATTTGGGGTGGCTACAAAGACAAAGAACGGCCTTCAAAGGAAGGTAAAAGGCAAGTTGTTACCCAACAGGATCTATTAAAGGTCTGTGCTTGGCTAAGACATAAAATTGAGGCCCGCGTGGCTTGACATCAAACCACCAGCTTTGATTTTTTTTTTTTTTTTAAGGATACATTTCAGAAGCCCAGACTTCTCCCTGAGAAGTGAAAATTGCCTTCTGCCCGAGAAAGGTTTTAATGATCACTTTGCTTCCTGTGTCTCCATGGTGACCGGGAGCACACAGCCCACCCCTCCCGCCTCATTAGGCCTTTCTTCCTCCCAGGAAAGTAATCAATCAAGCCCCATAGACGCCTTTGTGACCGGTTTATCACCTACACAATCGCCGGCCCCCTGGGAGGGGAGGAGTGGGCAAGTCCTTAGAGTTAGGGATTGGGCTCCGTCCAGAGCACCCTGGGCTCCGGGTGGCAGCGCTGCCTGGCACACCTGTCGGGAGGCAGAGGACGCGCCCAGGTGTGCCTACCCCGCCAGAGTCAGATGCCCAACCAGGAAGCCCGTGCAGAGGCCTGGGGAGCGCGGCGCTGCCTGGCGGGGAGGGAGGCAGAGTCCCGGCCGGCCTCGGGCGGGGGCGCTGGGCTCTGCCTTTCCTCCCCAGCGGTCAGCACCTAGGGGAGCCCCTTGGAGAACACAGCCCAGCCCAAAGGCCGGCGGCAGGGCGCACAGCAGCGCACCGGGTCCACCCGCAGAACCCGCTGGGCTCCGGACAAAGGGCCAACAGCGTCTGTCCCTGCGCCCCGGCATGGAGCCACGGTCGAGGAGCCCCGGGTCCACCGCACTGCCCAATGCGGCAGGGCGCCTAGCCGCGCGGTCCCCAGGGCAGCGCCTCCTGCCTCGGCCTCCCCACCCGGCCTTCCCGTCCCGCTGTTACCTGGGTTCTCCCCGGCGTCCGCGGAGGAGGCGGCCGAGGTCTCCGTGAGGACGCTGGGGTCACTCTGCGAGCGGCCCCGCGACACGAGGCAGCCGCTGCCGTCCTCCGACGCGGCCATGGGCCCGGCGCGGGCGGGCGGAGGGGGCCAAGATCAGCGCATCCGCGGCGGCCAAGGTCACGGCGAGGGGCTGGAGGGTGGGGGGATCTTTTTTAAAAATGGGGAAGAAAAAGGGGACGCGGAAGGGAAGGAGCCGAGGAGGAAGCCGGGGACAGCTTCAGGGCGGGCAGACAATAGCCTTGCTGGCTGCAGCCAGGCGCATCACAGCGCGCGGCCTCGCTTTGTTATTTATTCGTGTTTTTTCCTATTCCTCAGTCTATATTCCAGGAAAAAAAAAAAGTTGAACCAGGAAATAAAAACTTTCTTGTCAGTGTTTATTGCATGCTTGGGGTAAGGGGTGATGTCTAGGCATGTCTGGGGGTGCTCCCTCCCCCCACCCCACCCCCCACCCCCCCGCAAAAAGGGAAAAAGGAGAATCTTTGCTCGTGCAATTGCTTTAATCTGAAAGCTGTGCTTGGAGCATCTGTTGGAAAACATTAGGATTCTCCCATCATGCCCCGCGAGGAGCATGACGTCACGGAGACGGGAGCAAGAGGCGCGGAGGTGGGGAGGGGTCTCGGATACCTGGACTGCACGCCGCGCGTTGGGAGGTGGGGGTTGGGTTCTGGGTTCTGAGCCCTCTCGCCCCTATCTAGCCTGCTCAGGACACCAGAAAGCATGCGGACCCATCCCTTCTCCTCCCCCGCCCACGGGAGGGGTGGAGACCCTGAGGGCGGCGCCTCCTGGCTGGCAGGCAACCTCCCCAGCTGCTGGGCAGCTTGGCTCTCCTCTCTCAGGATGCGGAGCCCAGCTCTTTTCTGCTCCTCCAGGATGGGAAGCAAGCAATCGGGGTTCTACACCCCACTCCGCATAGGCCCCTCCCCACCACTCGTCCTGGGGCCTCAGCCTAGCTGGGAGGGGCAAGAAGGGCAAAGGTGCCTTTCAGATGGCTTCCCAAGACCTCTGAGGAGCTGAGGAGTCCACAAGGAAGGTGACGTAGAAAACTTCGGTTCCAGGGACAGGACCAGTGGTAGTAATAAGGAAACAGAAAGCCCGGGAGGGTGCAGGCAGGCGCTGTGTCCCACAGACTGGCTCAGGAGGCATCTGCACGCATCAGACTCTGGGGAGGCACTGACAGCCCCAGGGGCAGGTGACAGGACGGGCTCTGTGCAGGCACCGCACCGAAGAGCAGGTTTCGGGTCTTCCCTGAGGCTGCTCCTATTGGGGGCTTCATGGGCACAAAGTGAGTATGCTGGCACATGGGGTGACACCCCAACCGAGTGCTGTCGGGAGAGGAATGCAGAGATGGGAAAATGAGGACTGCTCCCTCCCCCTCGGGCTTTGGGCACCTAGCAACGGTCCTGGAGCAGCATCAGTCACCTGCAGACCAAAGATTTTCAATTGCTCATTCATTCACTCACTCATTTACACTCATTCAAAATAGCACAATGAGAGACACTCATGAAAGAGGACTTCCAGAACTGCTTCAGTAAGTGGCAAGAATGATGGGACAAGGGAATTCAAACCTGGGGGCTTCATGGCCATGTGTCGCTTACCATGTTTGTACTCAAGCGTCCACTGTATTGTTTGACCACATCGCATACAATGCAGAGCCCTTTGGACCTTTTACTCCACAGAGCCCCTCACCCACTGGATCACCCCGTGGATGTCAGTGCTGAAAAGAATACGACTTGCTTTTTGGGAGGCTGAGGCAGGAGGGTCACAAGTTTGAACCTAGCCTAGGCGGCACAGTCATTTAGTTAGACCCTGTCTCTAAATAAAAATTTTGGAAAGGCTTGAGATCAATCTCCAGTACCACCCGATGGACACACACGCACACACACATACGCAGAGACAGACAGACAGAGACAAAGAATGGGAGAGAGAGAGAGAGAGAGACAGACAGACAGACAGACAGACAGACAGACAGACAGAGAGCGCTTAGGAGCCCATGCAGTGCGGTAGGCAGAAAAGAAGAGGTACGATCATTTGTTATTGTTTGAGGTGTATCTTAGCTGTGGGCACCTGGAACAGAACACAAAGCAGTACACCCATGTATGTGACACCATTTGTTTTTGCTTTGCTTTCTTTGGTTTTGTTTTACTTTTTGCCAACAGGTCCAGAGAAAGACAGCCTGCATATCAAATAGTGCTGAGAAAACTGGATATTCACGTGAAAGAGACTAAAAGCTAAATCTTTACTTTTCACCTCGTACTAAAATAAAAAATGGATCAAAGATCTAGCTATAAAACCAGAAACAGTAAAACTGCTGGAAAACAACATGAGGCAACAGTTGAAGACATGAACACAGGCAAATGCTTCAGAACTAAAGTCCAATAGCACAGGAAATAACAGTATCAAAATAACAAGTGGGGCTACTCCAAATGTAAAAACTTCTCTCCATGAAAAAATATTAATAACAGTGGAGAGACAATGCCCTGACTGGAGGAGGATCTTGGCTAGCTACACTTCTGATAGAGAATTATTACCTGGGATATATAAAGAACTTAAAAAACATCAGTCCCCCAAACAAAGAACCCAATAAAAAAGTGGGCTAATGAACTGAACAAACATTTCTCAAAAGAAGAAATATAAGTGGCCAAAGAGGACATGGAAAGGAGTCCAACATCTCTAGCCATCCATCAGAGAAATCAGAGTAAACGTGTGTGGGGCCCAACCTCAGCCCAGGCAGAATGGAGATCACGTGGAATACGAAACACAGTAGCTGCTGGGGGGCAGGCGCCGGAGCAAACCCTGCGCCCCTGCCAGGGACGTCAACTAGCACAACCTCTGTGCAAGTCACACGGAAAGTCCTCAAGACACAAAACACACGAATGTCATTTGGTCCAGCTACGCTGACCCTGGGCACATTCCCGAAAGAATTAGGAACTGCCTGCTCTGCGATACCCGTGTAGCCGTGTTCACAGTGGGGTGACTCTCGGCAGCAAAGCTGGGGAGACGGCGTGGGTCTCTGGCAACAGATGCGTGGGTGAAGAAGATGTGCCTTACGCGTATACCGGAGTATTACTCAGACATGAAGAAGGACAAAAGCATGGCACTTGAGGGAGATGGAGGGGCCCAGAGCCACTGTGTAAAGTGAAGTTAGCCAGCCCAGAAGGTCGGTTAGCTCATGGCCTCTCATAGTTGAGAAACGTAAAAACTATGTGATCAATAAATGAATTGCTTAATAAAGGAGAAGCAACAGAAAACGAGAAGGCAGATGTTTGGAGATGGAGATGAGGATCATTGAGAAAGGAAAGAAAGGCAGAGGGGGCAGGGAAAAGCCATCGCACGAGTGAAGCGCAGGCGGCAAGGACCCAAAGAAGCCCCTCATTCTGGAATGCAGCCTCCACTAAGAACTGCACATACGGGATGCCTATGTACTAGGAGTTACATTTTATGATAGACTTAATAATATATAATTGCAACTGCATAAATGCACATGCAAAATAGTTAGCTATGTATGTATTATAGATTACATGATAATGCAGGTAGTAATATGTGTAGAATTTAACATGGATAATGTTTTATATGCAAAATATATAATATTTTCTTTGCAATATAATACAGAGGCAAAGTGTTATTTGTGAGAGCTGGGTAGGGAGGGAAATCTTCATTATTTTGTTTTTTGGTTTGAGATGGTCCATAACAAAAGTTTAATAATTTTGAAAGCTTTAGTGGGCTAGAGAGATAGCTCAGCGGCATATGTGCCTGCCTGGTGAGCACAAGGTCCTTGGTACCAAAACAAGTCTTTAGCAAACCCACCCCTGTTGATCAACAGAAAATAATGGAAAGCAAAGGGCCTTCAGGTAAACTGCCCACAGGAGCAGCTCTGGCCTTCAAAGGGGTCATCTTCCCTGGACAGGCCATTGCCTGGGAGGACAGCTGTGTGGAAAACACCTGACAAGGAACTTCCAGCCCGAGGCACCCCTGGGGATTTGTGAAGATCCTCTCTCTGTCCCCTCCACAAGCCCCCTGGTGAGGCCTGGAAGGATGAGAAGGCCTGGGGAGACGGCTCATTAGAATAAGTACATAAGGGCCTGGCAAGCACAAGGGCCTGAGTTCAGTCCCTGGTACCACAAAAAAAAAAAAAAAAAAAAAAAAAAAAAAAAAAAAAAAGCCTGCTCTGGAACCCTACAGAATGAACCCCAGTGAGGCTGTGTGGTGACCTCCAAGTGACGGCTCCAAGCACCCGGATGTGCATGGGCAGATGTGTGGATAAGTAGCACACGGCCCAGCCACACCACGGAACAGCACTCAGCCTTGCAAGGAAGGCAGCCGTGCCCCTGGCCACAGCACAAGGTCCTTGAAGAGCACACTGGGGAGGGAAGCCAGTTGCAAAAGCCACTGGTTCCAGGATCCCGCTGCTGTGAAGCCCTGCAGAGGCACAAGGCGCTTGCGTGGACCTCCACAGATCTGGGAACAGGAGGGCTAAAGGGCTTGCCTGCTAATGGATTCAAGGTTTCTTTTGGGGAAGTGCAAGAAATGGTTGAAAAATTCTAAACACGGGATCATTTCCAAATCTTTTGTAAAGACAACCACTGATCTTTATACTTTACATGGGTGGTAAGCTTTATGATATGCAAATTACTTCAATACATCTACCCACCGGCATCAGCGAGGCTCTGAATGTCAGGGGAGCAGGTCGGAGTCGGGCCAGCCCCGAGGCACCCACGCCATGGCCTGCTGGACAGCGCTGGCCCATCTTTCAAGAAATGTGCAAGAAGGGAAAGTTCTAGCCCTGCCTGGGAAGGTCAGAGAGGGTGTCACTGGGAGGTGACACTAGGCTAGTAGACTAGCAGCATGCGCGCGCGCGCGCGCGCACACACACACACGGAGAGGAAAAAGGAGAAGCAGAAGACCAAGCTGCCTAAGGCTGACTTCGATTCTCACACCAGAAGCAGGATGCTAGACACCCAGCCATCCATCCAACATTCCCTGAGCATCTGTTTTGCGCCACGCGTCTACCTAGCCGCATCTACATCACCAGGATTTGCTAGGGATAGCACCATGCTCCGGACAGGGTCTGCCTTGGCTTCTGGCGCTCAGGCTCTGCACACAAGACAGCACGCGCTCGTCAGTCACGGACCCAGCTGTCCACTCCAAACGAGCACAGGTGCAGGACACCTCGCCCGGGCACGGGAAGACCTCGTCTGGGAAAGTGAGACTCTGGAAACAGGAGGCAAGCGGAGACCCGCAGACAAGCAAGGAGGAACAGGGCTGGAGGCGAAAGAACAGAAGTGGGGCCACGAAGTGGGGCCCGCAAAGAAGCTACAAAGTCCCCACAAAGAGCCCACAGGGGGCGCTGTGGCGCACAGAGGGGCAGGACCCAGAGCGGGCTGCACACTCATGCTGGGGCCTCCTTGGATCTGGTGTTTGTTGCAAGAATGGTGCACAGCTGTTGGGGGATCACGGAGGAGAGCAGGACAGAAGCAGGGAGATGGAGTAGGGAGCTAA